GAGATAACTGGCTCGCACCTTGTTGGGTTTTTTCAAGGGCAGAGGGGAGATTCCTGGCGTGCATCTACTTAATTTGAAGAAGGTAAGAGTCAAACAATTTTCATCTAAATCCATATAAAATATGTAACTTAAAATTTCTCTACCATTTGCACCATTTTCTACTTGTTCCATACTTGTGTCATTATTTCATGTTTTGTAGATTAAGTCGGTTAGGTTAAGGCAGATAGCTTTTTTTTTACATTATCGCCGCACCATGTTAGGTACATTCTGTGCGAAAAAACTCTGCAGAGCCATATGTAGTGTAAGGGTCACAAAGCTGCTGCCAGAGACACAAATGGACCCCGGAAATGTCACAGTTTTGCTCCTCCTGAGCTCCTGGAGGTTTAGTGATTTTAACACACTGATCTAACATCAGTCTATTTCTAACTATTTTAATTCTATTTCAGTAATGTACTATGGAGGTAAATGTAGATACACACACTTTGGTACCTTTCTATCATCATCGAGATTCTTAATTAATTATGGTAATAAAAAGTCCTACATTTCAGTCGGTGAAACCTGCAGAAAGCATTGCTTTCTGAGCTTTGTTAAATGTTCCTAAAATACCTGTTAGTTATGGATTTCTAGTATATTTTGTCAGGCTAAAACTCTCAATGGATTATCCATTATTACAGACTTGAGCTTTCTATTTTTTTTCTTTAAAATACATATCCTCTGCTGTAAGATGTTGGGGTTTTTTGGACTCTTCTTTGTTGTCCCCAAATAATTGTAGCTCAGAAACAATATTGAAGTTCATTGGGTTTAATTTTGAAATGTTGATGTTTTTTGTGTTGATTGTTTGTGCTCATTTTGACCTTTGTTACTATTGCTTTCTACCATGTTCAATTCACCATTGTTCTGCACATATGTGCTTGCATACAAGTGTCCAGTGGTTATATTCATGAGGCATTCAAGGGACTTGTACTAAAAGATACAACTCAGTTCAGTATGAATTGCATATTTAATGGCTGAAATATATCTGATCTCTTTCAGAACATCACCTGTCTGTAATCCACCTGCGTAAGTACTGGTCTAGGGGCTCATCGCTATCAAGTTATAGATTTCAGTGGCTAATAGTAAGTTTTGCCAGATCTAAAGTGACTGAATGTAGTGTTAGAGAGCTTATAGAGCTAGAGTTCAGCTAAACATTTATTTGGCCAGTCTGTTTTATTTGTCTTTATTTGCGTGGGATGTGGAAATGTAAGGAGTGTAGTCTCTCTCTGTCTCGTAGATATGACCTGTTAAAACATTTTACACTTAAACACCGGCATATGCGACGTTATCCATGCCCACACATAGACTGTCCATGTACTTGTAAGACTGGAATGCTTTGCATATTCATTTAAGTAGAAGGATATAGACTGTGTTGACCATTCTGTACTTTTCACATATTTCTTTGGTAATATATTCATGTCTTTATTTAAACATCTAACAGCTTCAGTTAGATGTTTAAATAAAATGTTAAACTCCATTTTAGTCATGGCATAATGAAGGGATACTAACAATTTTAAATATCTTTCAAATAGACTGCAAGCCACTGATCACTTTTGTTGTCACTTCCTTTGAATGTAGCTATGTTTTCAGTGTGTGAACCTATACTGCTGGAGTTTTGAGATTGTTTCTCATTGTTTTTGATCTGCATATTTAGGAAGACACTGCTGAGGTCAGACGAGAGTGCATCCTCAAATGTCTGTGTGTACCTAAATGAAGATCCAGAGAAGCTGGTGAGGGAGTACATGGTATGTTAAATTCTCTTTGTGTTTTACAATAGAAACTCCTAAGAGTTGTTAAAATACTTTCACCAACTAAGGTCCATGAGTGACTCAATCAATGTCAATCTTAATTTATTTATTTAATTACATGTGAATTGTCTCTCCCCCAATACCTTCCCTAACTCCCTTAGGACGTTGATGAATGCGCAGAAATGGCCAAAGCCGAGACTGTCCTCTGAATCGTCATTTGAGCAGAGGGTGCAGAGGCTGCCGATGCACATCTGGATGTTGGGATTGTCCTGGAGGAGGTGGAAGTTATGAACAGCTTGGACAGTGTATCTTCTGCAATAGTGATGCTGCTGGGCTAATCTATGCCTAAACTTGAGCTACCTCAAGTTTAGTGCGTTCAGCACTCAACTTGCTCAGTAACTCAAGCATACCTTTGAAGTAATACAGAAATAATAATGAAATTGGATGGAAAGAAACTTATCAAAGAAAGCACAAGTTCTCAATAGAAACTCGCTGCTAAGTTGAGTAAAGTTTCATATGGAAAATGAGTGTTTAAAGTCTGCAGTAGAAAAGATTTATATTGTTACAGTTCTCTAAGTTGAGCAACTATACTGACATGTTTTATGTTGTAAAGAATTGGCTGGGAAATGAAACTGTAACCTTTTTGTAGTTGTTTTTTTTTATCTCAATGTCCAATCAGCTGTGTTTTTGTGCTGTGTAAAAAAACGATGTATAACAAAATACAATTGTGTTGTACCTTTTCTAATTGTTGAGTGTTCTTCCTACACTTTCACCTAGTGCTATCTTAAAATGCTTGATTAACGCTTGAAAATATGTCTTTGAATTAAACGTCATGAAATAATGGAAAGGATTTCCACACGATTAAAGCTGTCTTTTAGCATGAAGCATATTTGTTGAGCTAACTTGCTTTTAGTGAGTTGGACCTACTGAATCAGGTAGTGTGAAGGTACCACTGTAAAATAAGGTGGTTTCAACTAGATTTACATTCATCTTAATGAAGTTACATCAATGATTTGGTCCTAAACATTGCAGATTAGTTGGGCTGGCTGTATTGCACTACACTGGGTCATGCTATAGTAACTGAGTTAAAGGAACTTTAAAACATATGTTGAGCCCACACATTTCATTTGAATTTGAATAACCTTAATGAATGGAGTTGAGCCACTCATTTGATTTACAATCATCCATTGCCTTACCATAATTCTGGTTAAGCCAACATATTTGGTTTAAATTAGAACAACCTTAATGAATTATGTTTTGCCAACTCATTTTATTTATATAAGAATAACCACAATATATTACGTTGAGCCAACATGTTTGATTTAGAATCACCCATTGAATCACCATTGTAACAAGTGGAGCCAACACATTTGCTTTACATTGGAATAATCTTAATAAATTAGGTTGACCTAACACATTTGCTTTAAATAGGAGTAACACAAGTACATGGTGCTGAAATAAAGCAAAGTAATCAGGTGGAAATCCTTTCCATAATTTTTTTATGTTCATCCAATGACTTATTTTTTTTCAGTGTGGAGTTGGTGTAGCAGAGCAGGCGGCTCTGTGATGAAAACAGTGGATGGCCAAACTCAGATTTTACAAAAGTGAACATGACGGTACAGTAACAAACCTCAGAGTTACAGCTCATCCGGAAAGTCTTCACGTTTCCTAATATAAATGTGTTACAGCCTTATTCCAAACGTTCTGTTTTCTCAAAATCGTCCACACAAATATCCCATTACGACATTATGCCTGCCGACTACACATCACAGGAACTTTTTTATTTTCTAAAACTAGTGTCGTTTGCTCACATTAAACCTGCAAATTTTATAACATTATCACTTAAAAAGAAAGTTACTGCCCAGAAATATAATTATCGAGTTTAATGTTAGTTCAGTATTTTATTTGTGTTGTCCTAATGCAGAAACTCCTACTTGTTGTAGTGTGCCACAAGGCTCTGGACCAGGACTCATGTCAATTGTTATCTACATTCTCTTTATTTAACATTGAATCAAAATATCTATCTATTTAAGCTTGTTGGCATATGTTAAAGTTGAGCAATGTTTGAAAAGTCTGTGTTAAAGAATGGAGCCGAAACGACATTGAAGTGGTTTGAACTTATGAGACATCAAAAGGATGGGAACAGTAGCATATAAATATGTAATTTACTTGGAATGAAAGATTTATACAGTTAATTCTGAAAGCTCATTAACTTAGAGTCAGGAACTGTGTTATTAATCATGACTAAATTTGTCTGACTTTGTAATTTCACATTATCTTTTAGGCAATTTATTTTCCTTTTATGCTATTTTTTTTCCCCCAAATGCTGAAAAGCAGACTCTGGTACTCAAGGGTCAGAGTGGCTTGCAAACATTTGAGTCCATTCCTGCTTCAACACACCACATGAATCAATCGAATGAATGCTCTATAACCAGGAGTTTGTAAAACCTGCCAATGCCAAGGAAGTAATTCAGTTTGATGGACACCGACCCTCCAGGACTGTAGCTGCAGACTCCACATATCCTGACAAACTTGTGTTGTTAAACTTGAACCATTTGGATAATTTGCATTGGAGTGTGGGAAGTTCTGTTCAGAGTTTATTCTCTAAATTCAGGTCAGCCAGGTTAACAATAAGTTGAAAATAATTCATGGTCATAGATCAATGCCTAAACATTTTGAACCCTGCTCCAACTTCCATCCATCCATCCATCCATCCATCCATCCATCCATCCATCCATCCATCCATCCATCCATCCATCCATCCATCCATCATGAAAACAGAACCTTCTTCAACAGAAAGTAAAGGCTTATTCTTTCTTTTGGGACTCAGGCATAAAATTTTTCATCGCTTCATTTGGTGACTAATTATTGTGACAAGTTTTCTCCTCAGGTGACAGTACAGGGTGGCATCTTCTTCAGAAGCTTCAGAAAAGCTTCTTTCTCTAAAGAAACCACTCCCTTTGTGCTAAAGATAAGCTGCCGTGTTTAACTTTGTTCGACCGGCAACCTTTATAATATTTACAGATCTCACTTCAGGCTCAAGAAATCTCCTCAAATAATTGAACTGAGGACAAACTCCTTTTACCTGTTTTCAAAGACCTGCTATTTGACTGATCTAAAGTTAGTTGGAGTGTGGACGTATTTGTCGTTATCTTTTATCCTCCCCTATTTAGAGGCAAAGAGCACAGAAGAAGTCCAGTTGAAGAAGCACATGAAAAATTAATCAGTAATGGAGGTCTTATTTTAGAAGCAAATGGTGGTGAGGGGTGTTGCGGCTGTATTATTGATGTTGTTGTGCAAGTGGGGGCTTTCTGGTTCCCTCCGGGGGCAGAAGCCCTGCACCGTGTGATTGCGTGTGTGTGGGTGTGTGTAGTGGTAGCAGTTGCCTCTGGTGAGAGGCCATTGCGTTAAAAAGACATAATGGGCAGAAAAAGGTGAATTATCAGGGGAAAATAGTACAAAATCACATTTGAATCTGGCCAGAGACACCGAGAAAACCCAGGAAGCATTAAAGGAGGAAGTTGGAAAAAGAAGAAGGGGATTTCTGCAGTTGTCTGGACTCAACTCTCCTCAGAGACCGAGCTGGTGTACAGAAATATTTGCCAGCACCTTCTGAAACAGTTTTAGTATTCCTTACAGATGGGAGGCTGGCTTTTTTCCAGCAGAGAAATCACAGAGGAACTGAGTCTGCTCCTCGCAGAACGTGCGGAGGCCACCTCTCCTATATGAACACACATCTTCTGTACATGCAAGCTTGATGGTTCCAGCGCAGATATGTGCGAGAAACTGTGAAGTGCTAATTTATGCAACATCTTGGGACCAGCGGTGTTTTATCACAGGTCGTCGATTAGCATCACATAAAGGCACCAAAACAAGAATCGTTTCATATTTGACCTATTTAGAGTGTAATATTTTAGCTCTTGTTTCCCCACCCCCCCGAATTATTTATACATTTTTACATGTATGGTTTTAAATATTTCAAATTAGCTGACCTGCTTATGTCAAAAGTGACTGAATAAAGAATCAAATTGCTTAAGTTGAGACCTGTTATCACATACATAAACTAGGAAATGTGTATAACCTATACCATATATTTAATAACTCTGGCTGCATTTTTCTTTTTAATTTGTTCTTTAGAAAATCTGACTATTTTGTTGATTTGAATGTATTTCTGAGGTCTCTTTTCATCCTGTGGGGTGAGGACAACTAAACTATTTATTATTTCATCCACTTTAAAAAAAAAAAAATCCGAATTGACTCTGCATCCAACTGGATTGAATGCTGTTACTGTGTCAAAATGTCCTTTTCTACATTATTATTCTCACCTTGTGCACATTTACAGTATTACAACCTGGCTACTGCATCATTGCACCGGCTGCCATTTTAACCAGAGTGCATGTGTGTGTGCACTTTTTGAAATTCTCTGTTGTTTAGAGATGTGTCACACTACAACTAACAAACATCTGCCTCCTCAAGAGAAAGCCTTATAGTATGGGCCTCTGCAGGAGCATTTCACCGAATCTAAAAGTGCTCTATTTAACTTCATGTTGATCAAAGCGAATGAAGTGTAGGTGGGGTTGAATCTCAACAAGTTTGCAGCTGTAAGGCTCAACTTTTTCTCCACCAGCCTTCAACTTTTATTTTATATATTATTTTCCTTTTCCTACTTTGGGTGCTCCAGCATGATGTTTTCAGTCTTTTCTGCACACACACACACACACACACACACACAAAAAGATGCCAGACAGAGGCCTTGAGCAAGTCACTCACTTCTCTTTGTGTTGCACAGCAAGAATCTGTCTCTTCATTAGACAGCATCTTTTGACAGCGCTTCATGCCTCCACAGCTTCTTTGACAGCTGAACGGTGAGCAAGCCCCCCCACCTACACGCTGCTCATGCATGGATAGCTACGGCTGCGTCACAAACACATGCCAGGAGCATATAGTAACCGTCTCCATGTAACATTACACTAAAATCAACTAAATATAGTGCAAACTGAGCAATCTATCTGGACGTAGTGTAACTTTCGCTCACGTATGTGTGTGGAATTTATAGTTACACCTCATTAAATCTCTGCCAAACTGTTTGGATTCTCTTTCTTTTTAACAGAAGCTCACTGTAATGACTTGTAAAGCCTCATGTGGCATATCATTACAAATTTCTTGCCTGATGTATGTCTGGGAGCAGCTTTTTCGGAGGACAGCAGCAAGAACGGTTTGATTTAAAGTAATGAAGAGTTCGGGAGTCAGCCTTCAACAATGCTGCAAGAATCAGAGCTGAGATTGAAATCCAATC